TCTCTATCAGTAATAGAGGCTTCACCATGTACTTTTATGTTATGGAGTCCGCTTCTTTCCTTAAACCTCATGAACCAACCTCTCTCTGCAAGTTTCCAACTTTCCTTCTGCAGTTTCCTCACCTCTCTCAGGCTTCACAGAATTGAACAGAAAGGTGCAGCCTTGCTCTCTTAGGATTTGGTTTAAAGGAATGTTGTGGCTGGCTTAATCTTTTATCTAGACCACTCAAACTCTCCTCCTATCAGCAATAAAGCTGCTTACTTTCTTATCACTCATGTGTTCATTGGAATAGCACTTTACATTTCCTTTGAGAACTTTTCCTTTGCATTCACAACCTGGCTAAACCAGGGCAAGAGGCCTAACTATCATCCTGTCCCTGCTCTCAACATGCCTTTTCCACTAAATCATTTAATGAGGAAATCATTTCTGGCTTTTGATCTAAAGTGACTCTTCCTTTCACTTGAACACTTAGAGGCCACTGTAGAATTGTTAACTGGCCTAATTTTAATATTGCTGTTTCTCATGAAATAGGGAGACCCAAAGAGATGAAGACAAGGCAGGGAGTGAGGTGAGAGGAGTGGGTAAAGCAGTCGGACACACACAGTATTTATCGAGCATGGTTCATGGTGCCCCAAAACAACTACAACAGCAACATCAAAGATTACTGATCACAGATCACCACAGCAGTTATAATAATAATGAATAAGTTTGAAATATTGCAGGAATTACCAAAATGTGGCACAGAGACAAGCAGTAAGCACCAAGAGACTTACTCGGATCAGGGCTGCCACAAACCTTCACTTTATTAAAAACATTTCTGTAAAGCACAATATAGCAAGGTGCAATAAAACAAAGTATGTCCATAATTAGGTATTAGGATTATAGCCTAGAAGAGAGTAAAAAACTCAATACAACAAATAAAGAACAAGAGCTAGTAAATAACCTAAGGGCTAGGAAATAAACTAAGAATTCAACAGATAAGTATTATGATATAAGGTTAGTGATGTGGTTAGTGATAGTATTATGATATAAGGTTTTTATGAAGATAAAGACTAACACCTTTATCTTTAAAGTAAACATGTTGTCTCACAGTTTTTCTATAAAAGACAAACAATTATGCTACTTTTGTAGCAAATGAGAATGGCCATCAGGCAAGTTAACAGTTAAATACAAAGAAACATGATAAAATAAGGCAGAGGTAGTCAGCCAAATTCTTTAGGAAGAGAGTTTAAAGCTGTATTGATTACCATACTGGCATCATTTTATAGTCCCTCAGCAAAACAAAATGGTCCTCACGCTCGTGGAATGAAATAGAATGAATAGAAGTTTTATTATGAAAAGAATGTTAATTTTTATTTTCTTTACGTCTTTAATTTGAATTAGTAGTTTATCTTGTAAGGTGATTTAGATGCCATATTCTCCAAGGACAATTCCTGTCTTAAGGTTTAAAAATGAAAATAGGTGGCCTATTGTTTTAAACTTTCAAATAAGCATGAAATAGAGTAACCATACTACATATCAATAAACATTTACTGAGAATCTTCTAACTATAATCTGAATCAAAAGAGACCAGAAAAACAGAGGTTGATTTCTTGGCTGGTGGTCTTCATATACTTACTGAAAATATTTTAAGACTGAGATCTGATGTATTTATAAGTGAATAAATGTATCTATATATTAATCTAGAACAAAGATTTACACAAAAAGCTTGCTTAAACAAAATGCTTCCATAAAATCCAATAAGTATTCAAATCTTCTAATTATTGTCTCAAGATACACATACATACTGTATTTAATATTACAGAAACACTACTCTAAAATCATATATCAAAGTAAACATTCTAATTTCAGATTATAATCATTTGTAATATGCAATTCAAATGTATTAAACTCACAGTGTAAAAATTTCAAAACATTCTTTCTTTCCTTTCAGAAATACCCTTTCCAATGACAAATTAGTAGATTATAAAATAAAATTTTAATTTTATATTTCCACTACCCACATTAGCATCTTAAATTCGTACAGAATGGGGTAACCTTTTTCTCTTGATCAGGTGCATTTCTGGGGCAAACACTGATATGTTTAGTTAAAACACCTGACACTATGGCAGAATTATGAAACTAGAAGGTCTCTGTGTAAAAAAAAAAAAAAAAAAAAAAAAAAAAGCAAGTGCAGATTCTTCTAAGTTAAATATTTTATCATCTTACCTTTAAGAGGACAGAAGTAGCAAAGGTCAATCACTTTATTAAGGAAAGTAAAAACAACTGTAGAAAATATACATCTTACTGGTGCATTTTACTTTTTCTTGTTTAAAAGTTGAATGCTAATCTTATAGTGCATACCAATAAATGCTTATAAAATAAATATACCAGCATGTAGTGACAAAAGGCTTATCCTTTTTAATAAAAATGTGGAATTAATTTTTTTAAAAAGAGCAAACATATAAGACAATATTAAAATCTAGCTTCTTGGAATGGTTGCACATTGTATAAACACAACATCAAGCTTTGCATTACTCAGATTATATAATTTTTTATTTTGTAATCTACATGAACTCCTTCCAATATCAAATCCTTTTGAGTCAGTAGTCTTAGACATGAGAACATTTATAAATTTTGTTTCAGACTGTTAACAAGACATTCTTTTTGTTCCCTTCCTAATGAGTCATTAGTTAAACTGGTAAGAGTTTATTGCTTTTGTTAATTGTGATTATGTAGCCTTAACATGTTATGACATACAATTTCAACATTGATTTCAATAAACAGGTTCAGCTAATAAGCCTATAATGGACCTGAAATTTAATCCAATAGTTGTGTAATTCTCAATAGTTCTTGAATATGTTCTAAACAGCTATAAAGTTTTACTTCCTAGGCTATGCACAATGGCTCACACCTGTAATCTCAGCACTTTGGGAAGCTGAGGCAGGAGGACTGCTTGAGTCCAGAAGTTCGAGACCAGTCTGAAAAACATAGCAAGACCTGGACTCCACAAAAAAAATTTAAAAATTAGTAAGGCATGGTGATGCGTGCCTGTAGTCCCAGCTATTCAGGAGGCTGAGGCGGGAGGATCACCTGAGTCCAGGAGGTTGAGGTTATGGGGAGCCGTGATTGTGCCACTGCACTCCAGCCTGGGCGACAGAGTGTGACCTCTGACTCAAAAAATATATTAAATTCTCACTCAGATATGAGTAAACAATAAAACAAAATAAAGTTTTACTTCATTTCCCTCCAACTTGACCTCTCTATCTTCCAGTCTTTCTAGGAGAGAACCGAGTAACCTTCTACATGTGACTAAGGATATCACCTTTGCTTCCCTTGGTTTCTAAAGGAAATGGTATATTTAGAAAGTTCTGCTTTTTTGTAACACAGAGGGGAAAAAAATAAGACACTAGAAACAAAAAAGTCTACCATAAGACAACTCTTCAAAAAAAAAACTTGAGATATTCATTTCATTTATCTATGTTATTACTTAAAGTACATGGAAAAATAAGGTCATCATGTGGTTCTTTCTAGTTTCTAGACCAGTGCTATCCAAAAGAATTTTCCATGATAATGGGAATGTTTTATATCTGTGATCCCCAATAATGCAGTTACCTGACAAACATGGCTACTGAGAAGTGAGACTGAGGAATTAAATTTTGAATTTTATTGAATTTAAATAGCCATATATATCTACCATATTGGACAGCACAGTCTTACATACTCTCCTTTCCTTGAGTTTTATCCAGATGCTCTTACTGAACTCGTTCCAAGCCCCTTCTCTATTATCTCTAAGATTAAGCAGCTCAGCAGTTATATCTCAAAAGAATTACTAAAAAAGAATTTAAAAACTAGTTTTAAAAGGTGCCTTTTTGATGAAGAGCATGTAGTTAATTATTTAGCCTTTCTTTTTCTTTTTTTTTTTTTTTTTTGAGTTGAAGTCTCACTCGGTTGCCCAGACTGGAGTGCAGTGGCTCCCGGCCACCGCAGCCTCGACCTGCTGGGCTCCAGTAATCCTTCCGCCTCAGTCTTCCAAGTAGCTGGAATTACAGGCGCGCGCTACCACGCCCAGCTGATTTTTTGATTTATTGTAGAGATGAGGTCTGGCTGCCCAGGCGGGTCTCGAACCCGCGGGCTCAGGCAATCCACTCACCTCAGCCTCCCAAAGGCGTGGGATTACAGGCTGAGCCACCGAGCCAGGCTTATTTAGCCTTTTTAATCACAGTTTACTAGAAAATAAAAGTAACACAAACATCTATGAACAACTGAAACCTTAACAACACATTCTTTCCTTTAAACTCTTTGTCAGCTACATAATGAGTCCGAGGATAAGACAATGGCATAATTAAACATGAATACAGCACAAGCCACATCACAACCAGGCAGAATACTTATCTATTCACAATGGCAATACAGAAATTAGTGAACAGAAATATGATCAATCAATGCAACAATACGTGTTAGTCAATGAAAAACAACACCAAAGGTATATTTTACCACGATTTGAAGAGATTTTTGGATGACTGCTGATAGTTCATTCCAATTTAATGTATGCATATACACTATTTTTAAGCAAAATTATTTAAAAATATGACCATAAGACCTCAGGAAAAAAATTGTATCTTAAGCAAGCTCCCCGTTTCTCCTCACATTCCCTCCCTCACTCTCCCCACATATAAATAGTCTATTTTTAAAGCACAAATGTAGGTTTTAAGAAGAAAAACAACTATGATGCTGGCCTGTTAAAAATGGTAATGGCCTCTCTCTGGGTCCGGTATGAATGTCACTACCACCAATCAATTCCCCCTTTCTTTTGCCTATCAACTTGGCTTTGAGTACTTTGGGGACTGACTGGTGGCAAGTAGGAAGATGGAAAATGTAAAACAAGCTCAGTATTCAGGGATAGGATTCAAAAGAATTCAAGTTATGTGAATACAAGTTATGTGCTTAACTACACACCAGTTTCTGAATAACTGCTGATTGATATTGTTTGGAACCTGAGTAAATACAATGAAACTTACTATTTTGAGCCAAGGCTTGAAGCAGACAATCCAAGCATCCTTCTAAACTATCTTCAGTCCTGTCAGCAGCTGTTATCTTCAGCTTCTTTAAGGTATCACTGAGATTATCTGCTTAAAGAAAAAAAAAGAAGTATCAGCAGTCTCATCAACTTTACAACCACCATGTTACATGATAAAAGGATAAACAGTGACCACTAACCTGCAGAAGGTTCCCATTATAGTGAATTAACCTCCACATACATTCCAAGATGGCATTAGACTGCGCTACTACAAAATTTTTAAATAAACTTTGTCCATTTAACTTAGGTATAAAATATTCACTTCAAACATGTAAAATGCCAGGAATATTCCACAGATTATCAAAGAATATCTTTAGTCAATATTCTTGTACCTTATTGTGCTTGTTCAGGAAACCAGCTATAGTTAAGAAAAACTAAATGTTCACCAAAAAAAAATTAGATAGCTTTGCAAGAATCTCACTTCATTTTAACTTCCTGTTGTATTTTGGAAAGATAAAATGAAAATGAATGTTTAGGAGAGTTTCAAAGTAATATGACTTCAAATAAAGCAATGTGGTAACTATAAAACCTACTTTAACAACAACATTTGAAAAATATTTCACATCAAAGTATTGCTTTAAACCAAAATACACATATTCTGGATAGAAAGCTATGCCCTTCTTCTAAATTATATGTGGATTCCTCTAGACCATAGATCCTCAAAGCTTCTTTACAGTATTAAAATTTACTGAGGCTCCCAAAAAGCTTTTGTTTATATTCTTTCCTTTGGCATGGCCATGGTCATTGCAGCCTTGACCTTCTGGGCTCAGGTGATCCTTTCTCCTCAGCCCTTCAAGTAGCTGGAACCACAAGTATGCAATACCATGCCTGGCTAATTTTTTTCTTTTAAATTATAAAGATGAGGTCTCGCCACATTTCCCAGACTGGTCTCAAACCTCTGGACTCAGTCAATCCTCTCATTTCTGCCTCCCAAAGTGCTGGGATTACAGGTGTGAGCCACTACATCTGGCTTGTTTATATTACTTCTACTGATATTTAACATGTTTAAAAAATCACAACTAAGGCTTTAAAAAAATGTAGTACTTCATTTAAAGGTAACAATTGTAAACCTATTGCATGCTAACATTAGCATTTTTTTTTTTCCGAGTTGGAGTCTCACTCTGTCACCCAGACTGGAGTGCAGTGGCCGCTCCCGGCCACCACAGCCTTGACCTGCTGGGCTCCAGCGATCCTTCTGACTCAGCCTCCCAAGTAGCTGGAACTACAGGCGCCCACTAGCACGCCCAGCTAATTTTTTGATTTATTGTAGAGATGAGGTCTCGCCAAGTTGCCCAGGCGGGTCTCGAACTCGCGGGCTCAAGCAATCCACTCACCTCAGCCTCCCAAGGCACGGGGTTACAGGCTGAGCCACCGAGCCCGGCAACATTAGCATTTTTAACAAAAGAATAATTATATTTACATTTTTACAAATCTCCATAACATGTGGCTCAATGGGAGATCATTAGATTCTTTGGTTTGCTTCTACATTCAATCTTTTAAAATGTATTGTTTGACACAGCAGATGGAAAAAATTCAGCCTTGCCAGGCATGGTGACTCACGCCTGTAATCTCAACACCTTGGGAGGCCGAGGTAAGAGGACTGTTTGTGCCTAGGAGTTCAAGACTAGCTTGGGCAATATAGCAAGACCTCGACTCTACAAAAATTTTTTAAAAAAATTAATAAATAAATAGCCAGGCATGGTGGTGCATTCCTGTAGTCCCAGCTACTCAGGAGGCAAGGCAGGAAGACTGTCTGAGCCCTGGAATGGGAGGCTGTGGTGAGTTGTGATCATGTCACTGCAGTCCAGTCTAGGTAACAGAGACCCTGACTCAAAAAAATTCAGCCTCACATATATATGTAGTTAGAAAACAGGTGTGTTTTAATAGCCTTTTCAGATTGTGGATATTCACTGATATGCCAAAACTTGACAAGTGGTAGTTCTTTAAAGGTTAGTTGCCATATGAAATCTGAAATAGGAATGGTTTATCTGATTAATAAATTGAGAGGGAGGAATTGGACATTTATGGCTTAGCCCCTTCTAGGTTCCTGTTCTTTTAGAAGAGGCAAGAATTTTCTGTTCTACCATACCTTTGGCTGTCTAGCTGTTTCAGTGTCAAAATTAGCAAACATGTTTAATTCAGCAGTAAAGTATTAGCAATCCTACTGTGACTATACAAATACAATGCTGATATCTCCAGTGATTCTGAACTTGAGTAAGGAACAGAGGTTCATTTTTGGATTCCTTTAAACCATGACCAGTAAATCTCAGCAGTAAACTCTTACTATCTACATTGTCTTGTGTAAATCCAGATTTCTGTATTTTATATTTACTTATGATATAGGACACTGAACTCATTCTAATGAAAATTTCTCAGTCTCTGGTTGGTGTACTAAGGCAGCAAGTAGAGGAAGAAATGGGTAATTTCCATGGGACGTTTTAGCACTAAATCTTATTAATAACTAAAATAAATTTTCTTCTTAAAAGAATAATTTCGTTCCCAAACAACAATATATGGTATATAGCCTGTCTCGTGAAAGAAAATGTGATATCCTCAAAGGGTTAAAGCAAAGTTGATTTGGTCATTAATTCCTAGTCTCCTATTTCTTAACTGCTTTATTGCTCCTAAAGCCTGATCTAACCAAGCACTCTAAAAGTCTATCAAAATTACTCTGGCAAAGGTCTAATATGGTATTTTGACAAAGCCAGTGGACTTTTCACAATCCTCTTATCTGATATCTCTGTGGCAGTAGACTCTTTCTAGTTTTGAAACCTCTTAACTTAAAAACGCCAGTCTCTGAACATTTGTTTCTGGCCTTCACCAGACATTCCTTTTGTGTCCAGCCCTTGCTTGGTATAAGTGTGGCCTCAGCTCTGCCCAGAGCCCTCTCTCTTCCTGAGTAATATATGTAAGTCCCCTAGAGCATGCTGGAGGATAATGTGCTTTTTTCCTTCTGCCCTTCCTTCCTTCACCCAGCTAGATGAATCACTTCTAGCGGTATAAAGAATCACTTCCTATCGATATGAAGAATTGCCACATTTTAGTTCTTGTTACGTTTAGATAAAATCTGACCAAAACTTCTGGTAACCCTGATCAGCTAGCTATCATTTCAAGCGTTTCCCAGAAGTCCCTGCTAAAGACATAAATAGCTGCACTTTACTACTAGAACTTTCAAACAACCTTACCAAGTCCTTTTTATCCTCTTATAATCCCGTACACCATCAGGCACCGGCAACTCTTTATGCTCCAACCTCTGTCTTCTATAAACCAGAAACTCAAATTATTTACTGGTCTGAAAGTGTTTATTGCAATGGAAGAGTTTTTTAAAGACCTAAATTTTTATATTTATCAGTTGCTCTCTTTTCTTAACATCCGCTAACAAAAATTGATGAGAAAAGTGAGGCTATTTTAATATTTAAATATCTTGACTTATAAAAGTACTTAAGATCATCACCATCATCAAAGAATATACTGTGAACAAAAGACTGTCCCAAAGGGCCAGTCTCAGCATAAGACAGAATCACATTAGACTAAAAAGTCCTGAAATTCTTTGTTATTCATGATATAGCGTTTTTCAGTTTACCTTCCTGACAATATTATCCAAAAATGGTAGCTTTATTTTCAAGGTTATTGTACCTAAAAAAATAAATATTTGAGTCAGAGTCTCAGTCTGTCACCCAGACTGGAGTTCTGTGGCCACTCCCAGTCTGTCACCCAGACTGGAGTGCAGTGGCTGCTCCCAGTCACTGCAGCCTTGACCTGCTGGACTCCGGCGATCCTTTCGCCTCAGCCCTCCAAGTAGCTGGAACTAGAGGTGCGCGCTACCACTCCCGGCTAATTTTTTGATTTATTGTAGAGATGAGGTCTTGTCAAGTTGCCCGGGCAGGTCTCGAACCTACGGGCTCATGCAATCCACTCACCTCAGCCTCCCAAGGCACAGGATTACAGGTTGAGCCACCGAGCCCAGCTAAAATTATATTTGTAAATGCTAATCAATTCTTTCAGCACCTTACTATATGCTTGTAAGTGAATACATGGATGTATAGATGGATATGTGCTTATTATCTTTGCACAATTATACCACTGTTGACAATAAAAGCCATGTAAGACAAGATCAGACGAAACTGCCGAGCTTATGAAAATTCAAGACCTTTTTATCTTCCTTCAAATGTCACTCAATTTTTTCCCAAATTAATAGTTTTCACAAAACCATCTAGTAACAAACTTCACCAGCATCATTGCTCACATAAAATGTACATGAAAAATTGTTTTGGTACTAATGTGTTTTTCAAATACCTAGAATGTAGCGAATACATAAGTGGAAGAATTTCAAACTTATCTCAAAATGAATGACATTAAATCTTTTGGGGAACCTGGTTTAGGGAGCTGGGAATAAAAACAATCTCTCCTGAATATCATTTATTGCTTTACTTATCTAAAGAGCTTAGTACCTAACAGAATAAAGATAGTTTTAAAAGCTTGCCTAATGAAGTAGGAAGAAATAACGGTTTCTGTTAGCATATCAAATGGAAAGTACTGTATTTAAAAACTGTAATATTTTCAGTTTTACTATACTGTAATTCTGTTTCCTATTTTTCTATTTTAATATGTTTACAGAGTTGGTTCTGAGCCAATCAGAAACCCAAAACATTTTTAACAAATTAGTCTATTGTGTTTTCCATTAAACTATACTTACTACATGTGAGAGGAAAAAATTGTATTTTTTGTTTCTTTTCATGAATTTCTGTCTGTTGAGGAGCTCAAAAAACTAACAAGATTTACGTTTCCTCTGGTTATTATCTTCCCACCCCCAAATCTTAAGTTCTCTAATTTTCTTTTTAATCAAGTATACGAAGATTGTTTCTGAGACCTATGGAACCCAAGACCACCTTCACAACTTTTCTGCTCATACAGACAAGAAACATCAGAAACATGTTCTTCTCAGAGCATACCACCACTCTTTCAAAAATCTTCAGTGGTTCATTATTACCTGAAGTCCACAATAATTTGCATGAAAATCAAGAGCCTCAACTAATGTTATACCTTTATTTC